GGGCATATCAGTACAAGGTCCTACCCTTCGGCTTGGCCCTGTCGCCCCGCGTCTTCACGAAAGTCGTGGAGGCGGCCATTGTTCCCTTGAGAGAACATGGCGTTCGCATTCTCAACTATCTCGACGACTGGCTGATAATAGCTCACTCGCGAGATCTGTTGTGCGATCACAGGGACCTGGTGCTCCGGCACCTCAGCCGGTTGGGACTTCAGGTCAACCGGGACAAGAGCAAACTCTGCCCCACGCAGAGGATCTCTTATCTCGGTATGGAGCTGTACTCGGTCAGTCAGACTGCGCGCCTCACCGAGGAGCGCGTCCAGTCAGTGCTCAACTGCCTCAGGTCTTTTCGAGGCAGGTCAGCGGTCCCACTGAAGCAATTTCAGAGGCTCCTGGGGCATATGGCAGCCGCAGTAACGCCGCTCGGCCTGTTGCATATGAGACCGCTTCAGCGCTGGCTTCACGATCGAGTCCCGAGATGGGCGTGGCAGAGCGGCACGTTCCGGGTCAACATTACCCCGCACTGTCGCCAAACCTTCAGTCCTTGGTCGGACCCTGCCTTTCTACGGGCCAGAGTGCCCTTAGTCCAGGTGTCCAGGCATGCTGTGGTTTTCACGGATGCCTCTGCCAACGGATGGGGGGCCACGTACAACGGGCATGCAGTCTCAGGTCTGTGGACGGGGCCTCAGCTGCATTGGCACATCAATTGCCTAGAGTTGCAAGCAGTACGCTTAGCCTTGTGCCGCCTCAAGGGGCTGCTTCTGCACAGGCATGTACTGGTCCGTATGGACAGCACTGCGACCGTGGCGTACATCAAACATCAAGGTGGTCTATGCTCCCGTCATATGTCGCGACTCGCCCGCCATCTCCTCCTATGGAGTCAGAAGCATCTGAGGTCGCTTCGGGCCATTCATATCCCTGGTGTGCTCAACCGTGCAGCCGACGAGCTCTCACGGCAGCCGCCCCTTCCGGGAGAATGGCGACTCCATCCCCAGGTGGTTCAGCTGATATGGGGAATCTTTGGAGCCGCTCAGATAGATCTGTTTGCCTCTCCGGACACGACCCATTGCCAGTTGTTCTATTCCCTGACCGGAGGATCTCTCGGCACGGATGCAAATCCCGCATGCCAATATTTATTGGCTCGTTTTAATTCACTCGAAGGCAATTGGTCTCCCTAGCGTGATCCCAATTCGTTGGAAACTCCTCCGACGAGACGTCTCCGTTCCCTACTCAGGGAACGAGGGTTACCATACGTAACCGAGACGTTTTGCATCACATCACCGCAATATAAAGTTAAGAAAACTAAACAACCGAGAGAAATATGCCTATACTACCTCAGATTTAACATTTTATTTGAACATCAGCATCGGGGAACAACATTATGATCACGCTCATGGTAGAGAAAGCTGCTCACATGTGCAAAACTAACTGTGAGGACTTAACCCATTTCAACATTAATCTTTATTGAAAGTGGGTCATACATGTTTATTTATTTATTTATTTGACATGGAAATACAATTACATTGGACGAACCATATGCATTTGTTTAAGTGTTTTAGCACAAATGCTAATTTTCAACACCTGTCCACGGGAGGCTTTTGGAAATAAAATACAATAACAAGACTAGTAAGCAAAATAATACTAAAAATACTAACAGAAAAGGATAGCTAAAATATACCATATAATTACAGAGAAAAGAAAAAACAAATTGCATACATAAATTATAAAGCAGAAGCATCAGAGTCAGAGAATATCATTAGTTATTCATGTGAGCACTGCTGTTTAGTTTTTAGCCATTGTTTAAGTCCTCTGTTAAAAGCTTTGCCATCGGTGTCTAGTTTTAAATCAGTAGGCAAAGCATTCCAGAGTTTTGGCCCCTTTACTGAGAAGCCAGACTGACTAAAGGAGGTCTTACACTTTGGGACTAAACAGTCACCTCTGATAGTGGCTCGTGTGTTCGCCCCCCTGAGAGCTTTGGCGTCTACTGATTAATATAGAAAACTGCGGTAAAACATGATGTAGTCGAAATGTAAAATAATTTTCAAATTTGGTGCCTTCTTGACCGAGAAAAGACAGAAAATAACTTTAGGGCGCATTTGTATGTAAGACAACAACTCCCACAATGCACCACATTGCACAGCTCCGCAAGCCACTCCCACTAATCCAGAACCTCGCAAACATCAGAGAAATCACTCTTTCGTCTACAAGGCTAACGTTAGCTGCCACCAGAGTTAGAAATTCATTTCACACAAAATTTCTAGTTAGTTGGCTGTGGCGAGCAGGACGAGGGCGAGGGACGTGAGAGGACGGCGCGAGGCCGGTGGTGTGACTGATAATGAACGACACCTGTGAGACGCACCAGTCTCGCATCTCTCACCGAGGAGCGGAAGCATAAAAGGAGGAGCGATGACAGGGCAGATCGAGAGAGGAACAGGCCTGATTTGATGTTGTGTTTTGTTTCTGTTGTGTGTGGCTGCTGGCTTATACTTTTGTTTTGTATTTGTTTATTTTACTATTAAAATGTTTAAATGTTCGCCGGTTCCCGCCTCCTTCTTCCCACAACAACGAACCCCGTTACATTGGCAAACTCATTAGTGAATTACTCCTCGTTTGTATTTCTTTCTATATGGTGAATTATTGCATGATACCTGGATGTTCAGTCAGAACTATGTGGTGCGAAACTAAGATGGTTCACATCACAACACAAACGTCCGTGTGCTCGTCTGATTCAGAGATTTCGTCCAGGAGAAATTTCCATCGTTGAAATTCTCTGCAGCAGACGGACTCTATCTGTGTCCGTAGCGCACAGCGAGAGCACAGGCACCAGCAGTCCGCCCAGCTCGACCCAGTCCGGCTCCTCGTCCGCCTCCTGTTCCTCCATCAGCCTCAGCTGCTCTTCACTATATTGCGGCTCGTAAAGATAGCCACGAACATCGGATTCGAGCAGCAGAATTTCAAAATCCTCTTCTTCCATATCATGTTTAGTTTCTTCCGTTTGTCGTAACTTCCTATCTCCACAGCGCTTGTTAGCTTAGCTTCCAAACAAGATGGCTGATATTGCTTTCTGTATGTGCATGCAAGTGAAGTCCCACCCACTGATCTGTAATAGGTCTGTAGCGTGAGTGGGTCCCACACCCTGAATAAATGATGAGCTAGTGTTTGTAGTCTCAACCCTTATACAAAGAAATGGGACTTCCTGCTTTTTATGACGCAAAATGACGATTTTTACGTCATAAAAAGCAGGAAGTGGAACACTTAAATCCTTATTTCTCCCATCTCAGGGGAAAATAAGGGAATAAACCATGACCATTCAAAAATATGACTGGGTTTCTAAAGATACAAAGCTTAATGCAAATGGGTGAAGTGTCCCTTTAAATGCAAACACAGCTTTTGTGTCTTTATCAGCTTTTCCATAGCTATACTGGCCCTGATAATCATCACAAATACGGACCGCTTGCTCCATTTCTGTAAACCCGTTTTTGTGAATGAATGACTCTCTCTTTCGTCGTCAACAGCCGCTTGCACCCCCTGCTGGTGAGCAGACTAACGGATAATTATCAATCGGCAACATAGACAGTAAAAGAAATGGACAGAGCGATCTCATTGGAACTCAGTTGAGACAGTTGAAGCCCACTTTTAGCGATTTTTGAGAACTTCCGTTCCTGACGCGCAGACTCAGACCGACTCAAACTAAACTCAAAGACGTCAAACACACTTGATGACGTGTGCAACCTGTCTGACAGACGTGAATCTTCTAGTAGCTGTGCGTGAAAATTGCCAATGTTAATCTTGCAGAGACGGGGAACTTGAGCAAAGAGTCCTTTATCGTGAGTGAGCAGGAGTAAGTATTCCGTTGCTTTTATGGACTCATTATCTATGGGCTTCTCTCTTGACGGGACGTCCCCCCGATTGCCTGCGAGCTTCTCCTCCTGTCTGTACGGTCATTTCTGTACAGCGCGACAGAGAGTCGAGTGGTTATGACGCAATCGTTAGCCTATTTTTACTAAAACTGTTTCTACGGGGCCATAATGTAACATAGAAGGTAATGGAGCCATTTATACATTGTCGTGTTTCTTTAGAAATAAATAATGGACAAATGGAGTCTTTAAACGCCTCAGATGTAAAGTTATTCACTGTCAAAGTGACGCCAAAATGAATGGTAGTCAATGGAAATGCTAACGCAAGTGAAGTTCTGCTACAAGATGGCGGTACCCGGCCGGCTTCAACTTCCGGTCGATGGATTACCCCCTTGATCGGCAATCCACTGATATTCCTGCCGTTCCCGGATGTCAAATGTTGAATTTTCTGTTGAATTTGAACCACTGAATTTGCAAAGCGAAATAAAATGGACCGAAAATTGCCTGTCGAATATTATAGGTTGTATTTTTAAACAGAATGAATATTTCGAAAGTGAAATCTGAAAGGTGAATATGGATTATTGAATTTTTAAAAATGAAAATTTGTGTGAAATGTTTTGAATTGAAATATTCACCGCTTAAATATACAACCATGTTGAATTTCAGCCCATAAAAATGCAATGCATTAAAATGCAAGCAGGGTTAATGCAATCCATATTTTTCAAGTAGTGCAATTCAACAAGCTTTTTTGTTTCAAAAACATTTGTCATTATTTTACTTCCATTTGCACTTAATAAATAACAATGGTGAAGAACCACTGATAAAGGGCATTTTAAGGTATGTGCAGGCGACAATCTTTCTATTTTTGACGGCTTTCATGTGTGCACAAATTTGGTGACAAACAATCATGACCACTTGCTATAGTCAGTGAACACTTTGTATCGAAGACAATTGCTGTATTAATATTCAGTGTTGTAAGTGAAAGCTAATTAATGAAATAAAATGACATTTATCAACTGTGACCATTTTGTTGGTCATCTGTGTTAGTAAGTAAATAAATAACTAGTATTATTTTCCCCATTTTGACATTCTTTGTTAACCTGTCTCCTTCACACCTGATGCATATGCTGTCCGTGTGTCTCGCAGCACTGCAGCGGCTGTGGACAGCGGGCCGCTCTGGACAGGCCTGTGGTGTATGCGGACAGGGCGGGCTACACGAGGCTCTGGCATCCCACCTGCTTCATGTGCTGTGAGTGTGGCGAGGCGCTGGTGGACCTCATTTACTTCTGGAAGGAAGGAGCCCTGATGTGTGGACGCCATTACTGCCAGAGCATCAGACCTCGCTGCCTGGGCTGCGATGAGGTGAAACAAACACTTTCATCTTAAAGAAAATACAATGAAAGAAAATAAGGAAAACTGAACATGATATAGGCTATTCTTTAGCTTGAGATGTGTATGTGAAATATGCACCTATGAATTCTCTGTCTGTCTCTTTCTTTCTTCCGCAGCTGATCTTCTCAGAAATGTTCCTTCAGGAGGCCAATGGCCATGTCTGGCATAAGGAGCACTTGTGCTGTTGGCTGTGTGGACAGAGTATCAGAGTTCAGTGTGGCTGTGACAAACGGCCATCAAAATAGTTCACAAAATACTCCAAAATATCACCCTGGCAAATAGGCAATGAACACTTACATCCAACAAGAAAAACCATCATCGATCATCGTCTAAATCATTGATATCAACAAAATATTATTTTATTAAAAGTCTAGAACCTATTAAAGGGGTCATGAACTGAGAAATTAAATCTTTTGACATATAATTGTGCTATAACAACATACTGTATGTTTCAGAATTCAAAACTTCCACATTGGTCCAAAAACAGCTTTTTTTGAAACCAAGCTGCCACTTCAAGGTTTTATTATATAATGAACACACAGATCAAGCCCTACTTCGTCATCATCTCCTCTTTGACCAACCCACTGGTGCTCTATATAACAACAGAAAGAACAACAGGATCACTGGACTAAAAATAACATTACTGTACCTTCCAAAGCATTTTAATGTTAGGAAGGTGGCCGTTTATTAAGGTCTCAGTAGAGCGTTGGCATCAGTTAGAGCTTTGTTTGTTACGATTCTTTGGAAAATGAGTTTGACGCAGGCTTTGCGAACAGACTTTATGGAAAGATTTGAACCAAACAGTAATGCGGCAACATGTAAGTTAATTGTAATGTCTAATCTATCAGTGATTTCTGATTTCAGACTCCTGTTTAGTCATTATGTCGGTAAACCAAGCCAGTGACAAACGCCAAAACTCCAGTTATAATCAGTGATGCTTGTCTACACTGCATAATAAATCTCATTTACATAGTTTGAACTCTGTAAGTTATATTGAAAGCATTTCATGAAAGTGCAGAAATCGTGTTGAAATTTGTGAGATTGTTGCATTTGTGCGCTCAACAGACTGTGATCGGCTACAATGCAGCAACCTTTTGAGGAGTAGATCTAAATATAATGCTATAATCAACACTTTTTAGTTATTAGTTATTTCAGAAGCTGTAAAAGTAAAAACGTAGTTAAAGTTTTCAAAAGAGTTCCACATGTATAATACTTATTATGTTATCCAATCATAGCAGTGGACTTTACATTGAAGGCTTAAGAGACACCCATTTAAATGAGGCCTTTTATTTTTAAACGATGACTTAATTATAACGTATTTGATGTGAAAATCCTACTAACATTATAAGTGCACATCAGGAAAATTAAATTAAATAATAATATAAAATGCAGTTCATGACCCCTTCAATAGCACTAATCTACAAACTGATGGAGATACATTAATAACTGACAAAGATTTTTTGGCTGAATGACAAAGGACTAGTTTCTCAAAATATCTTTATAATTTCAATCTCCATGGCTAGTATCAGGCTGCCTTCCATGGCTAGCATTTGGCTATTTTTTCTACAAAGATATTATGCACCAGAAAACCATAGAGATTGATGGGATGCTTAGTCACTGATGTCAACTAGTACAAATCCCTAAGCTGATACATATGCTTATTTTGATATCCAAACTATGCATATTGATATTGTTACTTGCATTTTATTATTTGCATTTAGTATTAATACGATTAGTATAATGGTGTTTCAGTGCTAAAAACAAATCTAAGATTTTAAGAATAGTCATCATTTTAGGAGATAATCTCATATTAGGCCTTTTACGAGAATAAATAGTAATGTTTTGAGATTAGCTCAATTTTTCAAGATTAAATTTGACAATTTTACAAGTAAATAAAAAGTGAAGTGCTGTCATCTGATGCTGTGGTAATTCAGATTTCTTTTGGCTACATATTCATTGTGCCACAGCTTAAACATGTAAATAATACAGTAAATTTCACTTTATTATTTTAAAAGGAATAAAAAGATTACAGATTTTAAAAATGAACTCCTAGATGGGTCACATCAGTCTCAGACATACTGTAGATCAGGGATGGACAAACTCGAACCTGGAGGGCCGCTGTCCAGCCCTGATCAAACTTACCCCCCTGTAGCTTTCTAGTGATCCTGAAGACACTGGTTAACTGTTTAAGTGAGTTTACCCATATCCGTTTAGATCAGGGTCTCTCAACTCTGGCCACTGACATCCACTGTCCTGCAGAGTTTAGCTCAAACCCTGATCAAACACACCTGAACCAGCTAATCAATGTCTTCAGGATCACTAGAATGTTACAGGGTTGGAGATAAACTCTGCAGGAAAAGTGTATCTTGAGGGCCGGAGTTGAGAATCCCTGGTCTAGATGGTCAGTTTGATAGGTTGTGTCAATGAATAATTCAGCTTTAAATTCTGTCATTATTACTCAAGCTGATTCAGGCATGTCTACACCAGACGTGACTAAAGACAATAGAGCCTATTATAATCAGTGATGCTGTCTACACTGGACGCAGTGCAGTGACTCAACAAACCCGACAATAAACTGATGCCCTGTTCTGTTTGCGACAAGGACAAATGGATTTGCAATGGAGGCTTTTCACGTCTAGTGTGGACAGTTTCCAGCTGACGTGACAACGGTTGCGTCCAGTGTAGACACGGTGTGTATCAAACATAACACATTTTTATTGTATTGTATAAGTTTTCACAACATGTTTTCAAAACACGGATGATTTTAAGGACCGTGTCACCTCATTTCAGAAATCAAGAAATATATTATTGGCATGTCTATGACAGCATACTGCAGAAATCTGGATTTAAAATGGCAAATCTCTACAGTAATGTATGAATTCTGGTCACACCCTTTATTTTAATATTGTGATTTACCAAACTATGACATAACACTTTTCAGGGTTTGGTCTAAGTCAGTGAGTCTCAGTTCCTGTCCTGGGGAAATGTGTTTGTGTTCCTCATCTGATCGGATCATGTGTGAATAAGAGGGACATCTGAAATGTGCAGTGCTGTGGCTCCTCAGGACGGGAATAGAGATGCACAGGATTTAGTTGACATTCAGCGGTGATGCAACTGTTGCAAAGAAAAAAGAGGTTTGAGTGCTGCACTGTCATTCTCCACACTCGTTGTTTCTGAGGGCATATGCTTCTGCACTCATGAATTTTGCAAGTAGCTGTCACAGACAAAATCCAGAGCACGTCAAGCTTAGATTACATAGCTAAGAGTTTGTGAAGGGAGTTTCTACAAATATTTACTGCACTGAGGAAATATTTGTAAGAGCTTTTTATTGCAAGTCTGTTTGTAAATATTAGATCACTTCGAGGTTTATGCTTTGGATTGAATCCATAGGTGAGTGGAAATGAGTGTTTAATAATTTAATGTAAGGTTTTCAAACAAAAGTAATTGTGTTTGAGTTAAAATGATCAACAATCAGTATAAGAAAATCCTTTAGCTATGAGCGAGGAACGGGAAAGCTTCAGAGGAGCGATGAGTGAGGAGCGATGAGTGAGGAATGAGGAGTGAGGAAACTTCAGAGGAACGATGAGTGAGGAAGCTTTAGAGGAGCGATGAGCAAGGAACGAGGAGTGAGGAAGTTTCAGAGGAACGATGAGTGAGGAGCGATGAACGAGGACTGAGGAAGCTTCAGAGGAGCGATGAGTGTGGAGCGATGAACGAGGATTGAGGAAGCTTCAGAGGAGTGATGAGTGAGGAAGCTTCAGAGGAGCGATGAGTGTGGAGCGAAGAACGAGGAGTGAGGAAGCTTCAGAGGAGCGATGAGTGAGGAAAGTAGTGAGGAAGCATCAGAGGAGCGATGAGTGAGGAGCGAGGAGTGAGGAACCTTCAGAGGAGCGATGAGTGAGGAAGCTTCAGAGGAGCGAGGAACGAGGAGTGTGGAAACTTCAGAGGAGCGAGGAAAGAGGAGTGAGGAAGCTTCAGAGGAGTGATGAGTGAGGAAAGAGGAGTGAGGAAGCTTCAGTGGAGCGATGAGTGAGAAAGCTTCAGAGGAGCGATGAACGAGGAGTGAGGAAATAGGAGTTAGGAAGCTTCAGAGGAGCGAGGAACGAGGAGTGAGGAAGCTTCAGAGGAGAGAGGAACGAGGAGTGAGGAACGAGGAGTGAGGAAGCTTCAGAGGAGAGAGGAACGAGGAGTGAGGAAGCTTCAGAGGAGAGAGGAACGAGGAGTGAGGAAGCTTCAGAGGAGCGAGGAACGAGGAGTGAGGAAGCTTCAGAGGAGAGAGGAACGAGGAGTGAGGAAGCTTCAGAGGAGAGAGGAACGAGGAGTGAGGAAGCTTCAGAGGAGAGAGGAGCGATGAGTGAGGAACGAGGAGTGAGGAAGCTTCAGTGGAGCGATGAGTGAGGAAGCTTCAGAGGAGCGATGAGTGAGGAACGAGGAGTGAGGAAGCTTCAGAGGAGCGATGAGTGAGGAACGAGGAGTGAGGAAGCTTCAGAGGAGCGATGAGTGAGGAAAGAGGAGTGAGGAAGCTTCAGAGGAGCGATGAGTAAGGAACGAGCAGTGATGAAGCTTCAGAGGAGTGATGAGTGAGGAACGAGGAGTGAGAAAGCTTCAGAGGAGCGATGAGTGAGGAAAGAGGAGTGAGGAAGCTTCAGAGGAGTGATGAGTGAGGAACGAGGAGTGAGGAAGCTTCAGGAGCGATGAGTGAGGAAAGAGGAGTGAGGAAGCTTCAGAGGAGTGATGAGTGAGGAACGAGGAGTGAGGAAGCTTCAGGAGCGATGAGTGAGGAAGCTTCAGAGGAGCGATGAGTGAGGAACGAGGAGTGAGGATGCTTCAGTGGAGCGATGAGTGAGAAAGCTTCAGAGGAGCGATGAGTGAGGAACGAGGAGTTAGGAAGCTTCAGAGGAGCGAGGAACGAGGAGTGAGGAAGCTTCAGAGGAGCGATGAGTGAGGAAAGAAGAGTGAGGAAGCTTCAGAGGAGCGATGAGTAAGGAAAGAGGAGTGAGGAAGCTTCAGAGGAGCGATGAGTGAGGAAAGAGGAGTGAGGAAGCTTCAGAGGAGCGATGAGTGAGGAACGAGGAGTGAGGAAACTTCAGAGGAGCGATGAGTGAGGAAGCTTTAGAGGAGCGATGAGCAAGGAACGAGGAGTGAGGAAGCTTCAGAGGAACGATGAGTGAGCTGCGATGAACGAGGACTGAGGAAGCTTCAGAGGAGCGATGAGTGTGGAGCGATGAACGAGGATTGAGGAAGCTTCAGAGGAGCGATGAGTGAGGAAGCTTCAGAGGAGCGATGAGTGTGGAGCGATGAACGAGGAGTGAGGAAGCTTCAGAGGAGCGATGAGTGAGGAAAGTAGTGAGGAAGCATCAGAGGAGCGATGAGTGAGGAAGCTTCAGAGGAGCGATGAGTGTGGAGCGATGAACGAGGAGTGAGGAAGCTTCAGAGGAGCGATGAGTGAGGAAAGTAGTGAGGAAGCATCAGAGGAGCGATGAGTGAGGAGCGAGGAGTGAGGAACCTTCAGAGGAGCGATGAGCGAGGAACGAGGAGTGAGGAAACTTCAGAGGAGCGAGGAAAGAGGAGTGAGGAAGCTTCAGAGGAGTGATGAGTGAGGAAAGAGGAGTGAGGAAGCTTAAGAGGATTGATGAGCGAGAAAAGAGGAGCGAGGAAGCTTCAGAGGAGCGATGAGTGAGGAAAGAGGAGTGAGGAAGCTTCAGAGGTGCGAGGAAAGAGGAGTGAGGAAGCTTCAGAGGAGCGATGAGTGAGGAAAGAGGAGTGAGGAAGCTTCAGAGGAGCGATGAGTGAGGAAAGAGGAGTGAGGAAGCTTCAGAGGAGCGATGAGTGAGGAAAGAGGAGTGAGGAAGCTTCAGAGGAGCGATGAATGAGGAAAGAGGAGTGAGGAAGTTTTAGAGGAGCGAGGAATGAGTGAGGAAGCTTCAGAGGACCGATGAGTGAGGAGCGATGAACGAGGAGGGAGGAAGCTTCAGAGGAGCGATGAACGAGAAATGACGAAGCTTTAGAAGAGCGACGAACGAAGATTGAGGAAGCTTCAGAGGAGCGATGAGTGAGGAACGAGGAGTAAGGAAGCTTCAGAGGAGCGATTAATGAGGAACGAGGAGTGAGAAAGCTTCAGAGGAGCGATGAGCGAGGAACGAGGAGTGAGAAAGCTTCAGAGGACCGATGGGCGAGGAAAGAGAAGTGAGGAAGCTTCAGAGGACCGATGAGCGAGGAACGAGGAGTGAGGAAGCTTTTAGAGGAGCGATGAGTGAGGAAAGAGGAGTGAGGAAGCTTCAGAGGAACGATGAGTGAGGAAAGAGGAGTGAGGAAGCTTCAGAGGAGCGATGAGTGAGGAAGCTTCAGAGGAGCGATGAACGAAGAGTGAAGAAGCTTTAGAAGAGCGATGAACGAGGAGTTGAGGAAGCTTCAGAGGAGCGATGAGTGAGGAACGAGGAGTAAGGAAGCTTCAGAGGAGCGATTAGTGAGGAACGAGGAGTGAGAAAGCTTCAGAGGAGCGATGAGGAAGGAACGAGGAGTGAGAAAGCTTCAGAGGACCGATGAGTGAGGAAAGAGGAGTGAGGAAGCTTCAGAGGAGCAATGAGCAAGAAACGAGGAGTGAGGAAGCTTCAGAGGAGCGATGAGCGAGGAAAGAGGAGTGAGGAAGCTTCAGAGGACCGATGGGCGAGGAAAGAGAAGTGAGGAAGCTTTAGAGGACCGA